GCATCCAACAATATCGAAAAGTTGTCATTTCATTTTCATTTCTAAAATTCTTAAGCCCACTTTCCACTAAGGGATATAATGTAATTTATATTACATCTCGAGATATAAATTACTCACTGTACTTTTAAATGGAACCGTTTCCACTGAGATGTAATATATATTACATCCCAAACAATAAATATTTTTTCGATCGACCGAGCGATATTTTCATATTATATTTCACCTCCAGTACTGTAATATAATATAATATTATAGCTGTGAACCTGTTTGAACTGTGAACTTGCGAATTTACATTATTTATTATCAAAAATATACATACTGTGAGCTGTAAGTACAGAGTACTTTTTAAATACCTAGATACTGTAAATAAATATTATACCGTACGTTGAAGTTTATAGTAAGAAAATAACCAGTATTGTGTTCGTGCTCAGATGAAGTAAAAAAAGACCTTTTTTTACTTCATCTGAGAGTTCGTGTAGCATTCATTTCGATATGATAAATAGTGAGTTATTAGACTGAAACAGATTTATCGAGAAATGTACGTTGCAGTTTGCACTTCTGTTAAAGTATTGTTGTTGTTTTTAGCCTAAAATGTCAAATAAAAGTGTTACGTGGAATCACTTTGTAAAAAAAGGGATCGAGTGAAGTATGTGCGAACCACTCCTAACACAAGCGTTTCAAGCTTACCAGGAGTGGTTAAAAGGAATATTAGTAATGTTAATCAATAAGATTACTAATATTTTATTAAAAAAAAATTAAAAAAACAGTTTAGAAGTTAAAGAAAAAAAAATCGAAAATTCTTGAAATTTCATGTTTGAAAATGTCGCGATTAATCGAAAATCGATCTTTTAATCCTCCATTTAATCGATAATCGATTCAAGTACCTTCGATTCAGAGATCGATTTTTTTAAGAGTGAATCGACATGCCTACACTAAATGCATACAAGGAATGTAAGCGTAATAAAACTAAACTAATACATTGATTAAAATTACTTTTACGGATTTTATCGCGTTTTATTTATTTTTAATATCCAGACGTTTCGGGCGCTTTCCAGCACCCATGGTCACGGGTATGGTCGGGTATTAAAAATAAATAAAACGCGATAAAATCCGTAGAAGTAGTTTTAATCAATGTAGGTATAGTGTTCGCGTAAATATAAGAAATCATTTAACAAATGCATTATTTAATCAAACAAGAGTGATATGCCATAGTAGTTCAGAGGAAAACTTCAATCTAGAAAGGCACTAAAGTAAATGTAAACTGTAATTTTAAGTGTTCATTTACCAATTCTTCCAAGTAGTAGAGCCACATTGCAGCTATATTATGGTTATAACTCAAATGGGTCGGTTTGAACAGGGTAGGATCACACTCTCACAGCATTCCACCTTATTGCTGCTATGTTTCATATAGTGAGTGCAGAGAACCGGAGACTCTACTGGAAAAGAGGCATTCCATCTCAGTCCTCAAGGGCGACAATGCATCTGCATTTTGATTCTTAATTGAGGATAAATGTAGATGTTTATGGGTCACAGCATTCACTTACAATTAGGTGAACTGTGTGCTCCTTAGTGACCCTTATTCTATAAAAAATATATTCAGTAGTGATAGTAGTAGGGTAGTAATCATTAATCAAGTCAGCCAACATGCACTGGGACATCACAGCAGTGTGATTGCTCCAAAACTATTTCAGAAACGAGACACCTGTTACAATTTTTGGGTTATTCCAACTATCCACCCTAGGTAGATACTCGGAAATGCGTGTGTCTATCCACCCAAGGGGGTGGATTATCGGAATTCGTATATATTATTTTCTTCAGATTTTCCCCTCGGTTGTGTAGTCATTTATAGAAACATGGTAAAAACTGGCTCAAGATATTTAGTAGACATTAACCTCTTCAGACCCCCGGTACACATACGTGTACCTTAGAAATTTTTAAATAAAACTAGTGATTCCATCTTGTGACGAGTAGCTGTACTTTTATCGCCTTAAAAAAAGACTGTATTACCCTAAAATTACAAAAGATGGCAGATCCTGTCGAAATAGGTTTATGAAAAATCTTATTCAAATTCAAAGTTGGCTGTTTTTTCGTGACACCCGCGAGGAAACTTATAAAATCAGGCAAAATATTAATCGTTGTTTTAAATCATTTGTTTTTACGATTATTGGTGCACAATTAGTAGTAGTTTACACAGCGAATAATGGATTTCCGAAATCAATAAATTTTGTAGTTAATTTAAGTCAATTATTTTTGAGTACACATACGTGCACCTCAGGTTTAGACCATTATTTTATTGTTAGTATGAATAAATTGAGATATATTTTTATTAGCTATAGATCATGGATGCTAAAGCAATCGAAGAAGCACTTAACAACAGCGACTTGGACTACTCTGGATTTGAAGAGGACGATGAGTACTTGCCGCCAGATGCTGTACCACCTGAAGTGTCGGAGTCGGAACGGGACTCGGAACCAGAACAGGGTAACATAGTTGAGATGCAGCAAAATGTGCCTGGTGAATTCTGGCGGACTAAACAAATGAATCTTCGTCGACCAGACATTATTGATGATGTGCTCTTGTCACAAGGTACCTCATCCACGAGCTGCTTATATTCATTTTTGGAGTACCTAGATCTAGATTTCTGGAAATTAGTCGCTGAACAGACGAATTTATATTCTGCGCAAAACAAATTTAAAGTCAGTGGCAACTCATTATATTGAAATAATACGTTTTGCTGGGTTGCAAATTCTCATGGGCAGTTTAAAATACCCACAAGGTAGACTGTACTGGAGCAAAGACCTGTGCGTACCATTGATCTGAGACACTATGATCGGTTTTTTGAATTGCGAAATCATCTACATTTTGTAGATAATTCTGAGAGACGAGGTAATGATGATAAACCTGGAAAATCCGGCCAATAATTAGTAGAATTCAGGAAAAATGTCAAAGCTTACCTCGATCCAATCATATTTCAATTGATGAACAAATGATTCCGTTTTCTGGAAGGTGTGAATACCACCAGTACATACCGTCAAAGCCAAATCCTCTTGACATGAAAAACTTTCTATTAGCGGCTAAAGATGGCCTCGTTCTGGACTTTGAGATATATGTGGGATCAAATACAATACCCCACCAGGATATGGAACAATTAGGACTTGGAGCAGGCATAGTGAAGCTGTTGTGTCTTGTGTCGCACTGTTCCCGAAAAGTGTACGACAAAAGAAAAAGGACTGTGATGAACAATCGATTTGGGCCTGTTGCTAAAAAATTAAAGACTGACAAACAATTGAAAAGAGGAGAATGAGACGAGAAGGTGAGAAATGATGAGCAAGTTACTGTAGTGAAATGGAAGGATACCAAAGCTGTCACCATGCTGTCTACATATGTAGGTGCTACTCCAGTAGGCTGCTGCAAAAGGTGGTGCAAAGTATAGAAAAAGAAAATTGACGTGCCACAACCAGCTGTAGTAAAAAATTATAATACCTGCATGGGTGGCATTGATTTATGCGATCGGTTGAATGCATACTCGTATTATCGCAGCGCCATGCGAACCAAAAAGTGGCCAGTGCGTGCATTTAGCCATTTCGTAGATCTGGCCATTGTCAACTGCTGGATCATGTACACAAAATGCTGCCAGCAGGAGGGAATTGCAGCAAAAGACAAGCTGGGCCTGCTTCAGTACAGGCTGAATCTAGCTACAGCATTAGCAAGATACGATGGTGGCTGGATAAACCCAATTTACTTGCGAAGCAGCAGCCGTGGCGTTGAAAATGAAAAGGAAGCCAGTCCATCTACATCAAGGGTCGAAGATGAACCGCCAAAAAAAAACATAGAGCGGTTGTGACACATCCGCCTCCTGATGTAAGGTTGGACAGGGTAGGGCATTTGCCCCGATACCTGGATGACAAGTTCTCATCAAAATGCCACCATAGCCAATGCTCATCCAGGTGTCGCACTATATGTATAAAATGTAACATATATTTATGTATTTTAAAAAATAACTATTTCCAGTTATATCATACAAATAAGTGATATTTTTATTAAGACAGTCCTCAGGTGGACATATGTGCATCCATATTTATTTCTTTTAAACCAAATAAAAAGAAATTTTGTAATATATATTTTGTTTGCTTCCCTATGAACCTGGAAAAATGTTGAAAAGTCATTTAATCCACTTCCTTTCTATCTGGGTCTAAAGAGGTTAATTATTAAAATATATACATACTTCTTGTTTGAAAGGTCAATGTTGTAATAAAAGTAGCTCACAGGATTACAGATTCATTGCAATTCTTGGAATAAATTATTTTGAAATAAAGTTAAAAACATACTACCAATCATAACCGTTTCCAAATGCTTGCAAAAAATGCCCAATTCTTCACAAACACATCTGTGAGCATATAAATTCAAAAAACAATTGCAAATGTACATTAAAAGTTGGCAAATTTATCCAAGATATCAAATAATGTCTAGTCAATAATGAAATAGAGTTGATTATTGTCTGGACATATTGCAGAATTTAGAAATTACGCAATAATACTATTTAAAACAAATAAGTTTAATTTGACTAAAATACAATAGGTAATGCATGGACTTTAATAGATGTAATGATAACGGCAACATGCAATAAGTTTTTTGATAAGGTTTGTGGTTATTACAAATTAATAAATAATTAAAGTGTGTGTTGAACTGTACTTGAGGTGAAGTCCAAAGAACAAATAAAAGTCAATTGCAATTATCCAACCTGTCTAGGGTGGATAGACCGAACATGCGATTCCATGTATCCACCCTAGGGTGGATTCTTGAAGCTGGATAAACGGAATAACCTCAATTTTTATCATTAATATCTAGGAAGTAATATTATAGGTTTATTGAGAAAACATATCTAATAAGGGAAGAAAATTAAATAAATATTACATTTATTAGGCCATTCTTAATCTATCTATTATACAAAGAAGGTTTAATAAATATACTTTTTACAATAAATACATTGTTGAATCAATTTATTTTGATGATGCAACATTTGATTCTTTTAGAGGATGCTCTTCTTCATACTTTTTGTGCCAATCTAAATTCATTTGATGGACAGATTCTCCTCTTTTAGCAGCTGATTTTCCAGCGAATATAGCACCTAAACTAGCTAAAGCAGTAAGGAGCATTAATACATTGGCTATTTTAATTCTGGCTTCACTACGTGATCTGTCAATAACTTCAGCTCTATAACAAAAAAAAAAGCTTAGTCACCTGTAGATAACGACACAATATACCTGACTAAAAGAATTATTTCATTTAATACTATTGTGGATCAATAAAATAATATTAAACAAAGACGGTTAATTAAACTTACGATACGAATGTCGGGATCTCATTTTTGCTCTTATATTTTTTTGTCCAGACAAGGATTGTTTTTTGGAATTCAGTTGGTCTAAACCTTCGAGACATGGAACGGTTTTCAGATGTTGGATTTGACCCAGGGACAGGTGTACACATGCCCCTCCTTAGCAAAATTAATGGAACCCTGTTTATTAATAATTTATTTATATTCATTTTATTTTAAAGTTACGATGTATGCTCTTTGATCCAATGTAATAAAAGTATAATCTATCTTGTTCTTGTACCAAACGTATACATCAGTATAGTATACGTAAAAATGAGATCACAGAGTACTTTTTTTATATAGGAACATGAGATAATCAAATGTCACCTTTGGTTATTTACCATGAAGGTTAGAGAAAAGGAGAACGATCACTACGTACAAAAGCATAGCCCGCCTGTCCTTGAAAATTGTGGAATATATAGCAGCGCTGACGTAGGTGAGTAGTGACTGCGAATTTAGCTGTTTATGAGTACAAGTAGATGAAGTTAGTTGAATAATGTACAAATTTTCATTTCATTTTTAATGAGAAAACTTTCATGCTCCGTAATTTTGTAATTTTTGACAAAAAGAAACGTTAAAAAATTGGATAAATATTTTATTTTGCGTGGATGTGCAAGTGGTTTAGCATCTGATCGGAAAAATAGACTGAAAATGACTTTTATTGACCGTACTTAGTGATCGCAGCGCCTCACTTATGGTGTCCATATTTCTGGGACACTATTTTTTACAGCGATCGTTCTCCTGTTCTCTATCCTTCATGGTTATTTACTTTGAGCATAGAAAATAGTATTTTCTATGCTCAAAGCAAAGGTTAATTATTGGTCAGTGTACCTCTATACTCCATGGGTTAGCGATGGGGCAACTCCAACTACTATAAATATAACTCGAGTCAACTTGAGTTACTAACTCGAGTACCAATAGAAAAATCACCAAATTTTCGAGGTATCACCTTAACTGTAAATAGGCAATGTCAATCTATTTATTTAAAACATAAAAGATTTTTAATATTGATATGGTCACAATAAGATGTTGTTATGTTAGCTAATTACGTAATAACTTAAGACAGAATGACCCTTAAGTAAGGACTGAATAAATTAACCGACTTGGTATTACATTGATCTCACAACTTTTTACGATAGAAGAACTGAGTTGTGAGACTAACTTTTTCTTTACAAGTTATGTTTTTGATGGCATTTTACTTTACTATAACAAGTGTGAGGAAAAATTTACCCCACAACTAGCTATAAAATTAGGAATTAGTACGTGAAGTAAGCCTGAAATGGAACGCTGCTATTAACGATTATCGATATATATATATTGAGAGCTCAGTGGATTGTATTTGACTCATTATTTAATATAATTTACTTTGGTGAAGAAGAAGAAACTAAAAAATTGTGATATCTATCTGACTAATAAACTTAAAGAAACTATTGTGTAATCAATGAGAGCTTAGTGGACTGTATTTACGTAGGTTGTGTTTTAATCTTGAAGAAAGAAAACACTGAACTAACTGTTACCTGCCCCCTGTCACTCTTGTTACCTGCGTGAAATAATTACCTACAATCGCTAGGCACCCAAGGTAACATACGCGGTCGGGGCTAGCGCGTTGTAGACGATTGAATGTTTGTTTTGAGTTTTTTTAACGGTGTTTACGTAATTAATTTTTTTGTAAATACTTGTTGAAATAGTCTTTGTTTAGTGTTATTTATATTATTTTACCTATTTGATAATTTTTAATGGAAAAACGTCGCTCCTACTATAATTGTTACGTGGATGGATGCCAAATGCCCAAAAAAAGTTTTCAGATATATCATTCTTTATGAAATCCATCTGAAAGTTCTTATTATTCTTTTATTCGAAATATCTACAAACAGTATTGAAATCCATTAATTTCTGTTAAAAAGATGTATTCAATGTATATTACAGCAACAGAAGCCTCGGTGGTTTTAAATAAATATTCTACACTCTCAGTAATTAATAAATAGTATGTAAGTGGCACACCTATTTTTTAATAATAAAACTATTTCACATAAATAATGTTATTTAATTTTTTTACCACATAAAGCCAATGTAAGTTCTTCTTAACTAAACTTAATATGATTATATTTTCATTGTTTTTTTAATAAATTTGCATAGAATAAACTATTTTCAACATAATATATAAAATAATCATACTTATCTAAGTATTGGTACTAATATTGTATTTGAAAACTATATGCTTTAGTCCTGAGTTGATTTGATTATTTATTATTTTCAAACATTAGTTGTTTAGAAATATTTGCTAGTTTACACCTTTGTCCACTTAACCCTTCAATTTTGTATTGGGTCGAGGAAAAATAATATTATTTATTTTTATTTAATATTGTTTACCTACTTACATGAATGCATAAATTATTATCAATTTCCATAAGTGATTCTTCATGTAAATTGATGGAGGAAGATGTTGGAATACATTAACAGACAATGACAGATTTTGTTTCCTAAAAGTTAATTATCTTTAATACATTAATTAATACAAAATAGGTGTAGAAAGATGCTTTTTACAGAAAATTTAATTTAAAGTTCTTGGTATTTTAAACTATGAACGAGATTCAAGTTTTAATATTGATTGTTAAAACTTGAATCTCGTTCAGAGTCTAAAAGAAGCCTGTCTCAGTCATTTATTGCTATTAAAATGCACAAAATAATGTTTGCACCTAACAAGATAATTGTACTAGATTGTACTAATATGTCATTAACTGAATATTTACCAGAATTGGTACAGCATGAGGTAATAGCAGAGTAAGTTTCTTCTTTTTTATTAACATTTTATCCTTAAAATGTCTGCTGCAAATTTTTGATGACGATTTTGATGTCCAATCTGTCCGTCCTGTAGCTACAAACCAATTCCGATGTAAATTATCATGTTCATGAAAACTGCAAGAAACTATTAAATCTTTCAGATATTTAATTAATAGACACTGCAGAATACATGTCTGTACACCGGAGGCAAATGATCATAAGTCACATTAAGCTACGAGAATTGTACAGTGCACACATTTTAAGTCTCAATTTGAACATTACTCACATTTGTCACTTAACTACACATTGTGTAAAGTTCTAAATAAAAATTAATTTGTTGTTTAAAAGTAGGTTAATTGGTAGTTTTTGATGACAACAAGATATTGATAAAAATGTAATTAATTAATTAAATAATGGACTTGGGACATGCTACCTCTAAACACAAGGTGACCCCTTTTTTTTTTTGCGTATGGAAAATCATCTAATGACGCCTTTCGCTCTGGGTGGAGCGTAAGGGAGTGTCAGACTTTTACTGACTAAAAACCATCCGGGTTCCTGCTGTGCCCTTACGTTCCGGAGCCGCGGTATCTCTTTCGAACAGCCCGCAGCCCCGGCAGGCGTCGGCCCTTGCGGGCCCCTTCACGCTGCTGACAGCTCTTTGAGGCGCGCGTGGAACAAAACGCGCCGTCGACACGGCCTGTCGTCGTTAGACGGACGGACGGCGAGCTACCCATTGCTCGCCGTCCACAGGCCCGCGCCTACGGTGGCCGGGGGCCACGACGTAGCCCCCGACGCCCGGGGCGTCTCCCGCGGCGGCCGGGGAGGAAAGCTGCTGCTCTCTCTTTCTCCCGCTCCGCCACCTCCTTCGCTAGCATCACTGCTTCGCAGAAGGTGGTGACGGCATCCCATTCCGTCTCGCTCCGGACCATGGCTTCGACCAGGGCCGCACGCGAGAGGTCGCCGCCGCCTATCGCCGCTACGAGGACACGGCGGTGCTCCGCCCAAGCAGGGCACACCTCCACGGTGTGTTCCACTGTGTCCTCCGGTCCATCCTCGCAGTGGGAGCACCCGGGCGTTTCCTCCCGCCCGATTCGGTGCAGGAACCTCCCGAACACAACGTGTCCGGTGAGGACCTGCGTCAGGCGGAAGGTGAGGATGCCGTGGCATCTCTCAAGCCACTCCTCAAAGAGGGGTCTTATCGCCGCTATAGTGGCGTGCCCAGCACGGGGTTGCGACAGTCGCTCTCTCCATGTCGCCATGAGATCGTGCCGGAAGTCTGTCCACTGCGCGACAACTTGCCGCGGCAGCGGGGTTTCCCCCCGGCATAGTGCCTCCGCGCGCCATTCGTGCAGGCGTGCGAGGACTATCGCCTCCAGATCCCATGGCGGCAATCCGGCAAGGAGGCTCGCCGCCTCGCGGGATATCGTGCGGTAGCCGCGAACCATTTTCACGGCAACCACCCTTTGGGTCGCGTTCAGGTGGTGGACGGCAAGCCGCGCCAAACCACGCGCCCACACCGGGGCCCCGTAAAGGGCCATGGATCGCACGATCCCCGCGTAGAGCCTCCGGCAGGAGGCGTTTGGCCCCCCCAGGTTCAGCAGGAGCCGCCTGAAGGCAGCCCCGGTCCGTTCCAGTTTGGGAGCCAAACGTCGGAAGTGCTCAACGAAGTTCCATCGGCCGTCGAGGACGAGTCCTAGGTACTTCAGCGTCGACTCGACGCCGATGGATACCCCTCCTACCATCACTGAGGATCCCAGTGGTGGCCTGTTCCGAGGACCATGGAAGTGCATGGCCTCGGACTTGTGCAGAGCCACCTCGAGACCCAGTTGCCGAATCCTCTCAACGACTATCGCAACCCCGCGTGTCATAGTTTCCGCCGCCGCCTCGTACGACCCCCCCTTGTGCCAGTACCAGCGTGTCGTCAGCGTAGCAAACTACGCTGACGCCGGTAGGGAGGTCGGCGCGCAGCACCCAGTCGTAACCGATGTTTCACAGAGGTGGCCCCAGAACCGAACCCTGTGGGACACCGCACGACATCTCTCGCCGGTTCCACTCACCGTTGCGACCGGGGTAGATGACATTGATGATGAAACTGGTGTTCCGCAAGATCCAGCCCCGTCCCCGCAAGGTGCTCGGCGAGGCGGTTTGCAATGACTCTTTCAAAGAGCTTGCCCACCACGTCGAGCAGCACCACGGGCCGGTATGCGGACGGAGAGTCCGCAGGGCACCCCGGCTTCCGAATGAGGACCAGCTTCCCCGTCTTCCAACGAAGCGGGAATTGGCC